TCATGAATTGAGAGTACTGATGTACTTAATTTCAATTAAGGCTATGTTTTGGACCATATTTAGCATAATTTATTTTTTATCTCGAAAACAGATAGAGATAGGTATAGGACAATAGCAACAAAAAAGTATCAAAATACCGGAGCGATCCAAAAAATGTATTAATATACGGGATGTTCCATTTATAAAAATAAAGTTGTTAGGACTTTTTGATGGAAGTGGCAACGCCGCAATGCTGAAAATATTTTAGATCGATAGAACAGATAAGGAAATGTGAGAGGCGAAATTTTCAGAAGAATCATGCTTTGTGTTTTCTGGAAACGTCTAACCTACCATCGTCACACTGTATAAGGGTTAATGTAATAAACCATTGTTAGTTTAATGAATACGTTCGAAAATGTCCTTATAGGATGAAACTGCAGTAACGATAGTTACAAATGAAAGTGGTAAAAGCATAGAAAGTCTCAATTCTCTTTTCTTCGTCGTAACAGCAACTGTGTGAGTTTGAAAAATCTGAACAAACTTCCCCTCGAACGAAGGTCCATTGTCCTAACGCAATTCCTATATTTTTCTTATTGGTGCTCTGAATAATGATCAATGAGAATATGTTCTAATATTATACATAGATTGTTGGAAAGAGGATTACACTATTAGTAACGATCAGTCTTGTCTTTGCCCAATGTCTGTTCCAGTTATACGCTTTTTGAAACATCTATTCTGAACTGCGCGATCAATTAGGATTTCAATGACGTCTCTTTTGATGAATTGAGATGTATAGTGATTCTTGTCCCGTAGAAGTTGGTGTCTCATCATGGACATTTTCATCTCTTGTAAGCCCTCGTCACTTTCACACATCCAGCTTTCTCAATATGAAACTGATGCTTATAATGATCGGACTTTTGGTTATAAAAAAATTCAGTATTTTTGAGACAGGATTATGATAACTTCTACACTCAACGTAGGACGAAACGCCACAAAAGTAAAGAGACTATGAAAGAACGCATTTAGACAGTTGCAAAACAATACGAAACTATCGACGATAAAGTTGTCGAAGTGCCTGAAAACATAGTAGTCAGTTGACTAGAGGTCTGGAGAGTATGGTGGGTAACGCAGAACTTCGACGTTCTATTCGTAAATTTTTGGACGATGTTTTGTGGAACGTGCCGTTATCGTAAAGCCGTTATCGTGTCCATCCACTGTTCTGTGACCTATGGTGGGCAAGTCTCCACGAGAGTCCTCGAATCGTCGTCTTAGATTACTTTAGGTCGACCACTTCGGGACTCATTTTGAAGGCTATAATCTCCGGAACTGAATTTGGCATACCAACAACCAAATGCATACCGATTTCCAAATGTTTGGTTCATTTTTACGTCTATTTCGGCAGCTGTTTGATTCGATTTGAATTCGTAGAGAAAAATTGATCGAAAATTACTTAAAAATATCAGATAAGCCTAAAATTCACATTCGGGATAAAATTAACAGTATCAATATATAGAGTACACAATTTCCTATTCATCAATATTTCCCAAGACACACTAGAATAAATACTTTCATTCATATAGGACAATAGACATCATCTCCTGTACAGTAACAAAGTAGCACAAAGTAATAAACAGATATAAAAATTAGTATGTCTGTAGTTGATGAAATACTCAAAATCAAGTAACTGGATAAAAAAATTCAAATTCACATGTACAGATATAGATTGCCGTCAACATTGAAATTATAGAAGCGGACGCATCTGTAAAGTGGAAAGTTAAGAAGAAAATTTGTTCTACTATTTCCTACATCTAGAAGTGTTCTATTTTTTTTTGTATATGGTGTACAGTTCAGAATGAAAACAATTAGACAGTACAGTGAATCAACAATATTGTTGATCAGTTCGTAGACCAAACAGATATCGAAAAATTTTCTTCTAAGCTCAAGGTGTTTTAATTTATGAGATTTTATACTTGATTCATATGGAAAGTAACACAGTTGCTTATGAAATCTGTAATTCAGTGTGTTGATAGAATTTCTTTATTTATTTTCAATTATTTTGATGGGGTTACTGAAGCAGGGGTTTCGTATTATGAATGAGTATTCAAGGTTAAGTTTTATAATTGCAATTTGAAGGGTTGTGATAGAATTGATGTTCTTGAAATGCTAATTTAGTATCGGAAGTGACCCCAAGGTCTTCCACTAATTGAGATATGGAGTTACAAAAACACATGACATTAAAACGTACAGAACGTTTGAAACAATCAATATTTATCAACTTTTTATGCCACTTACCTTATCCAGTTCCGTTTCTAAATCACAAACAGGCAATATAGGCATCACCTTAGAAATCACATCATTTCCAACGTGAACGTTGATCAAGGATCCCGCTTCAGGCAGGTCGTTCTCATCAAAATCACTGCTGCCGAACACCTCGTATAACGTTGAATTTCGCACATCCAAACATTTCTCGAAAGTCATAGTTGCCTTGAATCCAATAACGGAGAACACTACTATCCCCGCAAACATGGAGGTGAAGCAGTTGGTGAGGGATACCATTATGGCATCTCGGTAGCAATTGTTATTTACAGGATTGTATGAAGAGAACGCTATAAGGCCACCAAAGGCGAGTCCAAGAGAAAAAAATATCTGGGTTCCTGCCTCCAACCAAACCACAGGGTCAAGGATTATATGCCAGGTCGGAGTGAAAAGGTGCCTGAGTCCATCTCCTGCTCCTTTCAGCGTGACTCCACGAAAAAAGAAGATGATGAGCACCAGATACGGAAATGTTGCAGTCACGTATACCACTTTGCCAGATGAAGCGATGCCTTTGATCATACACATGTACACCAAGATCCAGGCTACGAACAAGGCTATTGCGATTTTCCAGTTGAATGACTGAGGAGTATTGATGTCTTCGGATATCATGAGGGTTGTTCGGTACCAAAAAAATTGAGTCGGACTACTAGCCTATAAAAAAATAATGCGTGTCAGAGTCTGAAAGATTCTTTAGGTTTATTATTCTCATATACATCGTGAATATCGTGAAAACTTTCACGACCGGTGTCTGACAAATTGTCCAAGTTTTCAGTTTCATTAGCCGTCGTGTGCAGGTTTTTATACCTGACGTCTGCTACTGCGGAATACATTGTCAAAGGCGTTGAGTCATCGGTAAAAGTGATATATCTTGCTTCGATGCTCAATTTGAAAATGGTCCTAGTGCCTTCGTACTTCTAATGAGTGCAGTATAATGGTACAGGTAGTCCCATTATACTACACTGCGAACAGCATCGACCTTCATCGAATTGTAGAGGTTAACAGCTTATACTGCCACCAAGATAGCTGAGCGAATATCAACGAACAGTATCCACGTTGGAAAACTAACCTGTCAAGGAAAAGATCATAGAGGAATCCTTAACAAACAGATAACGTGTCCGAATCCAGTTTCTGCCTCTTTTGTTAACGAGCGGCAAACGAATGATACTACCTATGATTTTTTGAATCGAGTAGTTCTCCTGGTTGATTTTTTACTGACACTGGCTTAACATTGACATAAAAAATCTGTTAATTGGTGTGATTATTTAATAAAATTGATGTACTTATGATGAAACACCTAGTCCCTTAGTCCCGCGGGACTAGTTGTGCCATTATAGGTACAAACAAACCAGAACAATTTCCAGTTTGCACATCGCAGCAAGAGAGATCACTCCGACTATTGCCACATCGCCTTTGATAATGTCTCCCGCAGTAGCACACGAAACGTCAGGTGTAGAAATCAGCAAACCACGGTTAATTTACTCAAAAATATTGGACAATTTTGTAGAAGGTATCTGTATCTGTAGAGTAGGGAGGATGGGTGTAAGCCCACAGCACTTAAGCCACATGTGACCCATTGTACATCCTCCCGAGGAGTTGTCCTCTTAGGTCATCGTTCATCCTGTTCTTTCCAGAAAGGTGGAGAGGTCACTTGGATACATCTCCTTTATATCGGCAGGTGTAGGCCAAGACTCGTCGAATACACACTCTCTTATTGACGATAACTCCGGGCACTCGCATAGGACATGCCTGACAGTCTCATTTTCCTGTTCACACATTCTGCATAGAGGAGTGTCCACTAGCCCCATTTTATAGAAGGTGTTTTCTTAGTTGGCAGTGGCCAGTCAGAAATCCTACTGTTAAGCGTAGATTTTTCCTGGTCATTCCATCCCATCTCTTTAGGGATTGAACATGGGTGTAAAGTTTGGCTAGTTCCGCAATTTTCGAAGTTATCAAGCCGTAGGTGCCACTGGGTCCTAAAATTCTTAGTCCAGCTGCTTACTTGGCTAAAGAGTCGACAATGCGATTACCTTCACTTCTGTCGTGCCCTTTAACCCACTTCAGGATAATGTTATTATCTACCGAGGCGTTGGCTAAATCTTGGTGGCACTCTAGTACTAGCCCTGAGGTAACACGTTGTCTGTTGAAGGCTGAAAGGGCTTGTCTGCTGTCAGTGCAAATTGTTATGTATTTGCCAGAAATTCCTGTCCTGGTTATTTCTTCTGTGGCGATTGAGATACCAGCCAGTTCTGTTTAGACCACGCTGGTATTTTTCCCTTTCCCCACTTAATCTTTAGGCTAAGTGATCTGGAGTACACTCCACGTCCTGAGCCTTCTTTGATTTTTGAGCCGTCTGTATATATGTATATGCGTATTGCATTTGTACCATCTGACTCTGTGTTCTGTTTCATTTGTATTTTGTAGGGTTAATTAAACAGAAACCTGGTTTCAATTGTATCATTGGTTGCCTGCAGCAGAGGTTGCGCAATAAGAGCTTCTCGCCATAGGCGCAGCCTCAATTGACCCATTCCTACTTCGAAGTTTACACCAGCCGTGCGCAATCGTAGCATGGCCATTAACGCAACTTCCTTAACGTACATGTCCAGAGGGGTCAGACTCGTAATCAATTCCATTGCCGTGTTTAGTGTTGTTCTCATGGCTCCAGTGATGTTTAAACAAGCCAGTCGCTGTATTTGATATAATTTTTGGATGGCCATTGCTTGTAAAACTTTCGGTCCCCATGCAACGGCTCCGTACGTTAACATAGGTCTTATTATTGCAAAGTAGATCCAGGTGACCACACGGGGTGAAAGACCCCATGTGCGTCCCACTGTCCTCAGACATTGCTCATAAGCCACATATACTCTGTTTGCTCTACTCTGTAGGTGAGAGTTCTATGTTAGCTTCCTGTCGAGGATAGTACCAAGGTATTTCATCTCTTCAGATAAGTTCAGTTTGCTTTTGAAAATTTGAAGGAGATTTTGAACCCGATAAACTTCTTTTCCTGATGAAAAGGATTTTTGTAGAAGGTAATTCTTATTTGAATTTTGGAAGGATGTAAAAGTGACATATTTTGAATCGATAAAACATTTGTTTTCGATGACATAATTTTTCTATTTATATAAAAGTTCAAATTATCAAACCCAAATGTCGTCCACATGATCCTCTCAGAAGATGATTTTTCATTTTGAAATTCGTGTTGTTGAATTGAGGATTATGGATAGTCTACTTACCTCACACTCTGGTTCGATGGTATACGATCCATTTGGAAAGTAGACATTCGGACATTCAGCCCATGGCAACTGAGATTGGAAACTCTGAACGAAATAAAAGAGGCACCAAGCAATTATTGTGTTGTAGTAGAGGGCGACATTGAAGGAAACTACTGCGCTGCTAATACCAATTCCTGAAAAATCAATGATTCTCTTTGATATTTTTCCAATTTTCCTTAGAAGTGAGGAAAGAAATGTTCAATTTTTTTTTCCATAACTGAAACATTCGAAAACATTTGGAAATTCATGGATTCTAGTGACTGCACTATCAATAGTTTCAGCAGTTACCAAATTTTCAGCGACGGAAGACAAGTTGAAATGGAAAAATTGAAATATCATGGAAACTTATGTTATTTCTATCGTTGTCCAGAGGAAGATAAACAAAATACTCTGCAACATTTTCTCAATATATGGTAAAGTTGAAAAAATCTCAAATATTCAGCTTCTACCTGATTCCTAATTTGTTACTTTTTGATGTCACAAACTTATTCCTAAGCACTCTTTCAGAAGATTCATACAAATCCATAGGTAAAACGCTACCAGAAAATCATACAAGCCTATGTATTAATTTGGGTATTCTTCCACTATTGCCAACTTTGAGAAAACCATTCAACAACACAATTTAAAAAAAATCCATGATAATAATTATACAATTTTCGTTTCTTCTGAGGATGCAACGGTGTTAGCGAAACGCGTCTAGAAATAAAAAAAGGTTTGTGAAAATTGTGGACGCTTTTTTCTGCGAATTTCTCTTTGAAAACATGCAGTGCATTTCTTTAATATCCCCCCCCTCTTTTTATTTTTTGAACAAGTCAACTCAAAAAATTGAAATATGCAATAAGGCAATTAATGCATGAATACTTTATTTTGAAGTGACACTGGCAGATGAAACTTTCAAGATGGCGACTGGGCGCATCTGAGAACAAAATTAAACGGAAAGGGGGGTCTTGAGGAACATAATTTTGAAGCTCCTGACGAATACTTCACAATCCTAGAAATTCACCTACTACAAAATGGCGAAACATTCAATAATTTTCTGGAGACAAACACATTAATATCGATATTTCTAGAAATATTTCTTCTTATCTGCCATAGGTATGGCAATTCCAACAACCCGATAAGGTTTGTTAAGTTATTTTTTGTTTAGAAAAAACTTCGAAAAATGTCAGTATAGTCTATCCATTCCCAATTGGAATGGCAATGAAAAGATGAGTACAGTCATAAACATTTCTTGCCTGTGGCCCCTAGTCGCCCAGATAATTAGTAAACGTGCTATCAAATGTAGTTGAGGAGTGAAGGCTCGGCTAGGTGGACTGGCTGAATACTAATTTTTTGTCGTTTCATAATATTTTTTCATCAGTGCCGTGTGTTCGTGGGGTTAGGTGAGGTAATGAGTGGTTTTGCATACCGATTTCTGAATACTTTTTCTAGAGATCAACTACCCTAACACCAAACTGATATTTTTGCACTCGACGCGCTAACAAGGTTAGCATCTACGGGAGAAGCAAATTGATACTGAATCTAAAGACAAGGGTTAGCTGTTTATATACCTAAATATACAAATCAATATATAATATACAAAATAAGGGCTTTCATGTTCAAGTTCAGCGAGTAATTTTAAATATTCATGAATGCTTGAAGAATGAAAATTGTCACACTTCACAGAATGCTTTTGTGAATAGAATATGCGAGTTACGGAAATTATTTCGTTCGACAGTTCTTGGAGTCATTAAAATAGGGGATGTCATGGACCATGCAATGAAACGAAAACAAAGGAATAAAAAAATCGCAAACGTTGATGTTGCTACAAAAGATGTGAGTCGGCGAACAATTTATGGTATAGGTATACCAAAAAAATGAAGTACCAACCTTGGAAATGATTAAGTATAAATCACTCGACTATCCCGAATACAATTACAAATCTTTAGAAACTCTACGAGGTGTCTTATTGTCTTGTGGTTTCAAATATAAAAAATTGAACAATCGGATGGTCATAATGGAATCGACACGCATTGTTCAACTCCGACAAAAATATTTGAGGCGTATGAAAACCTACCGAGAATACAGCAGACATATAATCTACCTTGACAAAACTTGGTTTGACACCCATGATGTTGTCAAATATGGCTGGGTAGACGAAACTAAGTATTGTGTTTTGAACACACCTTCTTCAAGGGAAAAACGTGTTATAATTTTGCATGCCGGGAATGAAAGTGGTTTCATACCTAACGCTTTGCTTCTGTCGGCCAAAAATATAAAAGATTCGTCTGCTGATTACCACGAAGATATGACTGCGGCTTTATTCGAAACCTGGTTCAGTGAGCAGCTTCTCCCAAATATTTCTCCAAACTCGGTTATTGTTATGGATAACTCTTCGTATCATTCTCGTATAGCATTTGTCAGGAGCTTCAAAAATATGTGTCACAAGATCCCCCTTTCCATTCAATTTTTTTCCCAGATGGCGCCCAGTCGCCATCTTGAAAGTTTCATCTGTCAATTTCACTCCAAAATAAAGTATTCGTGTATTTATTTCATGATCCCAAATTGCAATTTTTTTAATCGACCCGTTCAAAAAATAAAAGGGGTGGGGGACATTAAAGAAATGCACTGTATTCTCTTCTGATAAAAAGTGCTCAAGAATGCTCAAGAATCATCATCATTATGTCTATCAAAAACGATATCAACGAGAATATCTGGATTATTAGGAAAGAAAGGTCCATCTTGGTACAAAAAAATGTGGAAATCTTTCAAAAAAAGGGCAGAAGTAATCAAATTTAAAACATTCGTTATAGAATTGAATCAGATATCATTCACAGGATTCCTACACAATATAGTGAATGAAAGGTGTGAAATAACAGACACTCCGGATTCGCTCCTCAACCTCAAGTTCTCATGAACATGAAGAATATATCGATTCACATTTGATTGCATGTTAGGCATAGCTGTGCAGACAGATGACATAACGTTTAATAGCTGTTCATTATCTCCCGGCAAATCGATATCAAGCGATGAATTGCAACTGACAGAGCTTGCTATGGATATATGTTTGTTGGCTCGGAGAAAATGAATATTCATTTGTGGCGAACTGAAAGTAAATGTTTGATATAACGTAAAATGATTGAAAAATAAAAAATTCCAATGACTCATTATATACTAAGTGACGAAGAAAGGTAAACGCCCATTCATATTGAAAATATTTTAATAATTTTTCACTTACAAATTTGACAGATAATACCAAACGTATGAAAATAAATTTTTAGAGGAAGTGTATGATCGTGAAACCAGTGAAATTCAGTAGTGTTGTGCAGATCCTTGATGTCTTATACACTCAAGGATACGTCTGGGCATTGTCCTGGTAAGGTGGTCTATATCCTGCTGGATATAAACCCTACTTCTATCTCATGTCTGAGTGATACCAAAGTCTGTGGGGGCTGTTGTAAATACAGCAGTCTGCGACCAAGAATATCTCACACGTGTCCGATTGGTGAAAGATCGGGCGATCTGGGTGGCCATGGTAAGCGGTTAATGTCATTCTGATCCATGAAGTCCAGAGTTACTCTAGCCACATGCGGTCTAGCGTTGTCTTGTTGAAATATGGGGTTCCCGATGATCTCAAGATATGGAGAGACATGGTGCACCACTACTTCGTGAATGTAACGAAGAGCTGTCATGTTGCCTCCAATAAAGACTAGAAGTGTCCTGCTACCATATGCAATGGCACCCTATACCATTCAACCAACAGTGTAGTGAACATGCCTCTCCACATCAAACTGGGGAGCTCGTCTTTCAACATGACGCCTTCTTACTCTTGCTAGTCCATCGTGCATACCCAAACAAAAACGAGATTATTCTGTCTATGCACAAGTGCAATCAGTTGCGACGATGCTTGAGAGTCAATGGCAACACCCAATAAACATGATAAGAAAAAAATCCAAAACTTCTTATTCGCTGATATGCTGAACGCATTCCAGCAACCCCTACGTGTTCTTCAAACCACTGATTCGCAATTGCCTTAGGAGAAATGAACTGATCCCTAAGAGCCAAAGGTCTTAATCGGCGATGCTTACGCGCTGTTGTTCCCCTGCCACGACCCTGTGTTCTTGGTCTTCTTGGATTCATGCCCGATAACATCTCAGAATAGTACGCAAAGATCGATTAGTTCTTCTTGAAATTTCTCTAACTGAAAAACTTGCCTCATGTAAGCCAACAATTCGTCCTCTCTCGATGTCTACTAGTGAGGATGACAGTGTTCCATTTAAGTGAAATTTTTACCTTCCATTTAGTATATTGTGTAGAATAAATCCTGTGGGTAATATCTGATTAGAAACCATAACGAATGTTTGGAATACAAACTGAGTAGGGAAACGGGTTTTTTATATCATTCAGTTTTCATATATCACCCCATTAAGAGAGTCATAGTTACGACCGCACCGGGGGGCCTGGGGGGCCGGTTAGGCCCCCCAGACGTACCCTGGCGTTGGATGCGATCGGGCGTGGAGGGGTGGATTTTCGGGAAATCCTTGCGGGTACCGCCCCTCACCCCACACCAACAGGATTTCGCAGAGCTTCCTCCCGCTCACCGATTACTCTCGATCCTTTTTTTGATCAGAAGCTACATGAAAATGATGTTGTTGGTACCTGCTATTGTTTGAACAATTATCATGAACAAATGCAGTGTTTATGAAATAATCTGGAAAACTTTTTTGAAAACAATCTTTGATACATATTTTGATTGAAAAATAAACGTTCCTCAAAAAGACTCATCATATTGTTTGAAAAAGGATTTGTTAATCAACAATTTTTTTAGTACTTGTAATCAATAATAAGGAACCAGAGTACCTGTTTCGGTACGTATTTTCATATATTTAGAAAAATCATAAATATCGGTCTCACGGTTCCGAAAGGTGGAAAATTTCCTGTTCTTCGTGAATCTCCTTCCAAATTTGAAGAAAAATGTCGAACATTTTTTGAGATATTCGCAGAAAACCATTATCTTCTCAGTTAATTGTTTGTTATGAGATAGATAGATAGATCTATATTGTCTAAAATGTAATACAATTTGTCGACAAAGTGTGTCATGGTTATAAATAAATAAAATGTTAGAAATACATAAAATGTAGTTTTTTGAAGGCTATATACTATTCACAAAAATACAGTGAAGATTAAAAATGACAGACAAAAAAACAATAAAAACATATCAAAGATTAAAAAAAATGTACAAATTTGTTGACATAAATCGTAATATACATCGTGGTATACCAAAAGACTGGATATATCAGGGTTTGTCATATAGTTAATATATAGCAAGAATAAAATTGGGCCCAAGATTGACCCCTGAGGAACTCCTCATACAATTTTTCCACTATCAGAAGTGTTGTTGTTCAATGTTATTTTTGACTTCTACCAGTAATATGAGATTTAAACCATTTTAAGGCTGTTTCCAGGATTCCATAATGAAAGAGTTTTTGCCAATGAAAGCCAATAGAAGGTTCGATTTGAATATCACAAAAATAATGAATTGCACATTCATTGAATGTCCTGCATATTGGTGATTATTTCCAAAATCAAGCTTTATATTTTCTGTAACTTTCATTCATGGGACATTCGTTTCTTTCCCATATGGAGGAACAGATGTGAATTGATGCCAGTAAATACCTAAATGAATCACTGTGCTGATTTATTTGCTAACATCACATGAACTGAACACTGTGGGGGGTTCAGCAGAACAACAACCATTCAGAGAAGATATCCTTGTATATCAAATTTACTCTTGTAAGTTCTCTGGAAAATCAAATCAATTACCTGCCAAAAAAGGTGACACTTGATTCCATACCCCTATAGCTCCCTTTCTCAATCTCTGACCAATTGCCAGTTCCAAGTAAAATATAGGGATCCCCTCAATGGCCAACATCACGAAATAAGGTATCAGAAAGGCACCTCCTCCATTCTTCTGTGCCAAGTATGGAAACCTCCAGACATTGCCGAGCCCCACAGCATATCCTATAGTTGCCAATAGAAAAGTGAGCTTGCTATCCCAGGATTCCCTTTCATCTTCACCACTCTCAGGTTTGAAAATAGGTTTTCCGTCTGTTGAATTCCTAGAAAAGAAAGCAACGGATGTGAACAAAACGTATTCCGGGTAGCGATGAAATAATTGTTTACGACACTACTCAGTTGTTTCCTAGGTAAACATTTGAAACAAATTTATTATTCTTCGGAACCAGGCGTTCCAACGAAAACTTGACCTCCCCTGTAAGTCATAAACGTACATGTAATCGAACATTTCAAAATACACTTCAATTTCTATTTCTAGGGGGACTCATTCTAATATGAAAATCATACCCGAAACTTCACCTCCTTCGGTCAGCAACTACCCCCTATTTTTCCAATGGCATGGGGGTCGTCGAGTGATACATCATTTGGAAGATATTTTGTCCCCCTATTACTTGAGTAATATTTTTTGAAATCAGTTCATTCCTTATTGAGAAATTAACTGTTTCAACGTTTTAACGTTTAACGTTTTATTCAACCCGGCAGTACATATGAGTGGTTTCTGAGAGAGAGTACTACCTACTTGCTGAATTGTTGTCTGGAATAATTTGAAGGGATTGAATTATATCAGTTTCATTGAATCATGCGATGCCCTGAAATCACCATGGAAAACAGTTGCTCATTGATATTTACTGTCAACCTGACAATATTGTTGAAAGATCCTGTTGTATTAACCCCCAGACCAGTTTTCATTGCATTTGCTGTTTCTAGTATTGTTGTTCTTTGAATCACCGTTGTTCCTGTTGTGTCTGCCGTGTTTTTGTTCCCATTGTGTTTATTGTTCCTGTATTTGTGTTGGAAATTGTTCCTGTGTTCCAGTTGTTTTCTGTTCGTGAGTTCCTGTTCATATTTTAATATTTCTGAAGTTCCCATTTCAACTGATATCAGCTCATTTTGATTTACAAAGTTCAACATGGCACGTCTGTCACTTCAAGCAAAAATTGAAATTGTTGGTGAAGGGGTGAGGTCTTATCGTGAAGCGGCCACTGAATTTAATAAAAGACACCCGCTACCCTGGAACTGTACATAAAATATATAATCTATTTGTGAGCACCGGTCAAGTAACAAAGGACAGAAAAGTTGTAAAACATCATATTGATGATGATACGATATTGGCGGCTCATCAAGCTGATCCTAGAATTAGTTTGAGAAACGTATCGCTTCAACTCAATATGATCGGCAGTAAAATATGGAGGTGTTTAAAGAGACATAAAATGCATGCGTTCAAACCCAAATTTTGACATACTTTGCACGAAGGAGATGGAATCCGTCATATGGAGTATTGTTTATGGATGCAGGGAAATTATCTCAGTGACAGGAATTTTTTAAAGTATATCTTATACAGTGATGAGGCTACCTTTACCACGAATGTTGTATCTTCCCAGAACATGAGGTTTTGGGCTGAACAAAATTCAAATTGGGTGGTGAATTGTAGAGACCAAATATCTCAGAAAGTATCCTGAACGAAAATATTATCGGGCCATTTTTTTTTCGATCAAAATTTAAACGGACGACTATTCGTTGACTTTCTCGAAAATGCATTTTCCGATGTGTTGGAAGAACTAGCTTTGGATGTGAGACACAGCATGATTTTTCAGTTAGATGGTTCACAATAGTGGCATAACAAGGGTTTGGTTGAATAGGAATCTACCTATGAAATGAATAGGACCCAAAAGCCCTCTCCACTGGATTTCTATTTATGGGAAAACTTGAAATATAAAGTTTAAAAGGATAGGCCAACAAATGAGGAAGATCTCCGTGCATGAATTATACAAGCGTGTAGAGAAATCACACCTAGAGAACTGAGAAGAGTTGGAGGAAATAATAGAAGGAAGAAGTGAGACACACTGTATAAGAAAATATACATGTCAGATTTGTCGACATATCCCATGTGTTTGTTGTAATCTTTGACCAATTTCAAACAAGAAATATTTTGCGACGAACCATTTTTTTGCTAGCGAGGTAGGAAGTCAATATGTTATGGATTATGAAAATTGCTGAGAAATAAAACTGGTCGTTTGTCATCCCATTTCAAAAACAGACCTTCTTCAGTCATTCTCCAGTCACTATCTCCTCGTGTCATTGCTTTATCACCTAATAGATTTCTAGGCTCGTTTTTTTGGCCCTTTCTCATAGTTCCACATAAATATATTTTCTTGGCTAACATTTCGGTTTGTAATGAGACACCGTTGAAAAAATAAAAGTGTCGAAGTATACCTTGTGATTTTTCCAACAAGTGGTAGAGTCAAATCAGATACGACTCCAATTATGCGTCCCAAATTATGCTCTCTACCTTATCATTCTTCCCTGTATAAATTTGGAATTGGGATACGTAACCAGTATCATTTGCTCGTATACAAATCTTGTACCCACGCTCTATCGGCTTCAGTGACATTCGGAAGCTCATGCGACCTTTGAATTTAACCATAGATTCATATATACTTTGATTTTCAGACGGTTTATAGCAGTCCAGAAAAGTTTTACCCAGAACATCAAGCATTGGTCGCAATTTATACAACTTATCGAAGCCCTCTTCACCCTTTTTCGGCTGAACCAAGTTGTCGTTGAGGTGAACGTGTCCCAAAAGCCAGCGAAATCTATTTCCTGACATAACTGAAGATATAAATGGATCTCTCATTTCGAATTTTGAAGACCAGTATAGTCTCTGTAACTCGGCTTTCTAATAATACCCATCATGAGATTTAAACCGATAAAGCATTTTATTTTATCTGAATTTATTCTAGGGAAGGGCTCATAATGTATCTGAGTGGTGTACAAATTTGTTTGAAATACCATCATTTCAAGTAAATCCATTGGGAATAAATGCAAAAATGTTTCCAGTGGAGTTTCAACCCAATCGGAAATATTAGGTCCTGAATCTTGGTCAAAAGACGAGGGAACACAGTAATGAGATACTTTAGTCCAAGATATATTCGTGTCCTTTCTCAAATGAGCCAATGGACGCTCATATTCACTATCACGGTCCGAATAATGTTCTGAAATCCCCTGTAAAAACATGTAATTGAATACTAAATATATATTCGAAATTCCTTGAAATTACTTCTTCAGATTTGCCTAGCTCCGGCGATTCCATCCTTAGCAAATCCTCGATGTAATCAAATTCCTCAACAATGCCGTCTTCACGTTTCGGACTCAAAATCTGAAGGAATATCTTCTAGCTTTTCAAATATTTCATCTAAAGTCAATTTATTCAAATCAAAGAATTTTCTATCTGAAAAATTAACCAAAATTACAGTGGCCTTGTGGTTCCAAATGGAACCTCCTGATATTTCTCTGAAGATATATCATTTGAAATTCGATTTCCATTGTTTTTGTAGTGTCATGATGAAATATACTCATGTCCGTTATATATTTACTAGGATCTCACCTGCCATTATTGAAAATGCCATTTATTTAGATGATTTGATGAGAACGTACACACAAACATGAATACTTGACGTTTTCCTGCACTTTATGACTCATATCTCCAAACAATTGGAATTTCTTTTCACCTTGCACTTCTGGTAAAGAGATGGCGGTAGTATATTACTGTTTTGATAATGTGGTTCCAGCAGCGTTTACTGGGCCACTTCAAAAAATATTCGATTTGTGGTTTCACGGTGGCACTTCTAGGCTTCAAAGGGTTTTAAAAAACGAACGATATTATTGGTAGGTTCACAAAAATACATCGAACTCCATTGTTTCTTGCAGTAAACAAATTAAAGGTGTTGATAATGTAAGCGAGCTGAAGATAACAAAAATGAAGTCACCACTATAATTTGGTGTAAAACAAAATAAAACGATACGTGGAACGATCCACTACTAGGGTAAGATGTTTCTTACTTCCAAAGTAGAAGATCGAATCGCTACAAACTGGGAAAAGTGAGAAAATAAATTGTGGAAAGTAACACAAAACCAATGAAACTCCCCTTCAACGGCTGTAATTGAATTTGTCCCGACAACCGATCGAAAACACTGTCCAAACTCACCTTTTACTGCTACAGCTCGACTTGATTTTATTGCTCGGGCTGGTATCCTCAAAGGCGGCATTCGTAGTTCCGTAGCTTCCGGTGTTTCCGTTTTCGATTACGAGTCTGCTTCGCATCTCCCTCAACTCCAATCTATCCATCGAACGTTGGGGGTTGAGATCGCGAGAACTTTGTCTCCGAATGAAGTGGGCAGTGTTTGCCATTATTGTGGGCGAGACGAGACTATTGGGTTATTATTCTAGATTTTCAGAAACTTCCGCTGTTTTGGTTCTGCCATTTTGATCTGAAACAAGGAATTCATTTCTTCGTCAATTGAATCAGGGGGAATATTGTAGATAATTGAATGTCGTCTGGAAAGAATAATCAGTAGAAATAGCTACTGAGCAGTCGGTACGAAATAAAAGAATAAAAAATGTTTTATATTGCAGAATTTTCTTCACAATGAGAACTTCTAGAAACATCAATTTAAAAAAATAGGCAAACCGACAAATCTCTTCGACCAGAGCTGATTCTTGAAGAGAATGGTAATGAATACAGAAGTAACTTATTGTGCATATCAGTTAAAAAAACTAAATTTAATGGATATTCACTTATGCATTACATAAATCCATGTTGAAAATGACTCTGATATTGTGATATCATTGAGTTGTAATAACTTTGCGATGTTTGGTGATCCGAATAATATTTTCGAATGCTGTTTTTTTATCAGTTTTATAAGTAGTTTTTGCTAACGTTTCGGACTCCACCAAGTCCATGTTTGAGACCTGAGTATGGATTCAATAAAGTTCGAAACGTTGACAAAAACAAATTTGTATGAAACTTTTGTATCCCTTTTTCAACTAATAGAAAAAAACAACAGCTGAATGTATTAGGTTGTTTCAAAACTGTTGTTCATTTCAATGTCCTGTGTTTCTGCAGCTTCATATCTCAATAGACAATGATTATATATTGAGACATAGAGCTACTGTTAAACATCTGTTTCAGCGATGATTGTTAATTTCATCTCAATGGCAATATTAATAGACATGATTGTCTCTATTGGAGTGACAAAAACCCACATATTTTTCGGTGAGGGCATACACAACACCACCAAAAAGTTAATGTTTGGGCTGGTATTCCTGGAAATGCAAGTTTTGGTCCATTATTTATGAAAAAAACCTGACTGGCAATCGGTACCTTGAAATGCTTGAAGAGACTATCAATCGTCCTATAACTCACGAGCTAGAAACTCAAATTGATGCAGAAGGATCTGTTACATTTCCAGCAGGACGGTGATCCACCTCATTATTTTCTTTTCGTCCGACAGTGGTTAAACGAGAGATTTCCGGATAGATGGATTGGCAGAAGGAGAGCAGTTAAATGGCCTCCGGAATCACTGAATTTAACACCCTTAGATCTCTTTCTCTGGAAGCATCTTAAATCCGTTGTTTATAAAGCACAACCTTCTAATTTCGAAAAAGTTCAAAGACGAGTTACCGCAGCATGATAGTCAATTTCTAGTGACGTTTTCAGTTACTTTCCTGATTGATTCGGCAGTAACTTGATGAAGATCCATAGTAATTTGAAAAATATATCACAACATGTTTCGCTAGCACAGTAGCTTTTTGATAATAAAATTGAAGTGCTTTTTTGATTCTTCGTATTGTTTACCGGAAGGGAATATTAGAGGTGGAAGTTTGCAAATTGACACCCTGTATGGACTAGAATAAAGTGACGGTTCAGCAGTGTATTCAGACCTGACAGGTAGAGTTTCCAACATACGATACCGGTAGCATGTGTTATCAGATAAGAAATCAGCTACATATTCACATCTACAAGAAACAAACCACGCGATAAATAATGGAAACATGAAAATTCTACCACACGGACAATAAAGGAAGGAAAATAAATTTGTTGGTTGCAGGCATTGAAAAGGAATAAGTTGTATAAAAAGCCTAATTTTAAAACCCACAATAATCAACTAAAACTTTGTAGCTCTCCTCTTTCGAATTTGTGAATTTTGACAACTAATTTATGAATAATTTGTAGTTGGAGGAATCCACATGCTGGTTTCTAGGAAAAATAGTTGGTAATCTTGATATATTATGAAAAAATTGTTATTGTTTTAGTGTTGGCATTGATAATTCAGGAGATATTTGTTATTTCGGATACATATTGCATGTTCCTGACTGTATCATTGTATATTTGGAGATTTTGCTTTGTCAAAATGCATCAGTTTATTTAAAAATTATTTAACAAACCAAAACCGATCCTAACAAATGAAAAATCAGTAGAAAATAGACAAGAGTTCCATTAACAGAATGTAGCCCAGAGGACTAATGAATCTATTATCTATTTATCCATCTATAAGTGATAGCATGTTGAATATGTATGTTATGTAATTAGATTTCACTCCATTCGATTGGAGAAGCGGAAAAATATTTGAAACATTTTGCTGAATCAGCTAGTCATTCAATAGCTGCGTGTAACAAGTTACTTCGAGTTAAAGTCTCCACAATTTGGAATCTACTGAATTCAATAGTAATTTATGCAAAACGAATCATTCAACAATCAGATATACGAGCATTCAACAGGAAATCTCTCGCCATTTCTGAAAATGCTTGTTATTCATTTGTGTTTTCAATATTTGAGAAAATTGCCATCTGAAATGGTTAACGTTTGTTTTAGTACAATTTTCTAGATCGGTCATCTATCTGAGTATGTCGAAAAAGTGATTTTTCACGTACCTTTCGATTGTGAGGACGACAAAGACGTCCTTACGTGGAGCGCTACACACACCAACTCACGCCGCGATGAAGAATCGATAGTAGCGTCGGCGCCCTTTGTTGGAATGGAGTCTGAAAGAACGGATAACATATTTCACCAAAGCTGGAGATCGCTTATCATGTTACGGTAATTGATTTTTTTGTCAATTCCGTAAAGTAACATATAATGTCTGATTTCCCTAGTCAATTTGAAATTGAATTACTCATTACTATCATCAAATATAATGTTCATATGATAAATTCATGTAATAATAATAATTAATGAAAATAGAGAGAATGTATACAGCAGATACAATCCTTTGCATAAATTATACATACTCAATAAGTTAGCAAACACTTGTTTTGAGATAAAATCACCTTACACAACTACATATAAAAAATATATATTCAATCCAATACATAAATATTACGAAAAAAAAAACATCTCACTCAAAAATATATATGGAAATGACAGTGTAATATATCCTTCCGGTTTTTTTATACAAACGATAGTACTCGCATATTCTGGCTGAAAATTACAAAAGCGCCTTTACTTAAAGTATTCGTCGTGTTTGTGCTTCAGCATTTCCATTCTGACTATTTTTTTATTGGGAAGAGTAATCTATCAGTACTTTTTATTTCTCAATTTTCTCATACATCAAAAGTTATGTTCTAGATGAAATGAATGTAGAAAAATGCAGCTAATATTTGTGACGATTCTCATTTAGAAAATATTACGAAAGAGCTGACGGTTCATACCCGACAACATTCCTCGGATACAGTTCTTGTGGAATCCATATGGTGCTCCTGGAAGTGTGTCATTTTGAAAGAGATCATTCATTCAGACCGGTCGCTTTGCTATCAGTAATAAAAAAAATAATGCAGAAAGCCGTAAATCACCATATCCTTAAATATTTGGAAGGCTTCAACATCTTGAGCGATCATCAATATGGTTTTCGGAAACAAATACTAACAGGCGTTCTTCTATCGCATGTCACCCATATTTGGGATAACTCAATCGTGAAGAGCTGAAAGCTTCCTGAATGAACATTTCTTCAATTGACATGAAGACTATCTTATATGCCGACAACACAACATTTTATACGAGGGTAAGACAAGTAGAGGAAACCACCGTTATCCAGGACATAAGTGAGTTAGCTACTGATTGGTTTAACGCAAATAAATTATAAATCAATAAAGCGAAAACAGCTTCTATGATATTCTTAAACCAAGGAAATGCTGCTCAGTCGTTAAGGTTTTTAGGAATTCACTTGGACAGCAACTTGTCGTGGAAAACTCACAAAGACAATCTTTCGAGTAGGTTATCTAAGGCCATTTATGCTATTAGACAAGTTAAAATTAATTTAGGTAGGGAAGCGGCTATCATGACATACCATTCACTATTTCATAATGTTATGACATATGGATTATTAAATTGGGGACACTCTATCTACTTACAGCCTATTTTTTTACTCCAAAAAAGAGCAATTAGAGCAATTGTAGGTTTAAACAGATTGGAAAGTTGTAAGCCGTGGTTTGTACAGCAAGGTATTTTGACGTTACCTTCATCAGTCATATATCGAGTGGTCCAACGAAAACTATGCACCTTGCTTTTTTCCTTTCTTTGTCACTTAACGCAAAAATGCTCGGACAGGTCGATTTTGCTTTCGAGGGGGACACATTTCAGATGTATTTTTCTACCTGTGCCTTCAACCACCTAGCGAGGGTGAGTAACAACCCTAAANAAAAAAATATCAGCAACTATCAGACACTTAGTGATAATCATAATTATAATACAAGAAATAGAGACAACCTGCTGATTCCACAACATAAATTAGCAAGTACTAGTCGCAATTATCTAGGAATGAGACTGTTCAATAAATTAACTATTGAAATGAAAGATACACACCTGGAAATATTCAAAAAGAAACTGAAGAGTATTCTGTTGAGAAAAGCCCACTACGAAGTAAATGATTTCGAATTGTCCTAAGTTGATTTGAATTACAATTTCTGTTATTTTTTCATTCTTTTGGTTACATTTGTTTTAAATTGTTACACAATACTCCTGAGTCTTATTTATAAATTATGACTTACAGATTTGTTAATAATCTATATGGACCTTAATATGTTCATGTTTCACTTCTAAATTTTGTTTCATATGTCATGTGTTAGTAATTATGTCGTAATTTTACGTTGTGAATAATTTATAATTTACAATTTTATATATCTCATATATGTGTGTATTTTATGTGACTTGTCCAGACACCATGGTGTACTTGTGATCAATGAAACAAACAAACAAACAAACATTTCCTGTAAATAGCCGTCGACGACTATCTTTCGGATACTTTCACTATCAACGCAGGTGTTTCTCAGGAACTATATTGTCTTCAATCCTCTCCCTATTGTATATCAACGACTTATTGGAAACAATCATGAATGTAATATATTGCTTTGCTGTTCCGTCATTCCATTTGGATTGAAAAACATCGGCAGCGGATGCACATCTTCATCTGCAGCAGGAGGTTGCATGTCTGAATGATGATCTAGAAGTGATTTCGAATAGGGGTGAAACTAACCAAGTTCCATTCAATGCCACAAAAATCCAAGCATCGGTTTTCTTCAAGAAGATAACTGTGGGGGCTCCGCCCCCAAGCATACCCTGAAGCTGCTGGATTCTATCCAGAAAAGAGCCAGCCGCCTGGTTGGAGACGCGAACTTGGAACTGGAACATCGAAGAAAGGTTGGAGATTTGCCTCTCTTCTAAAGATACTTTCATAGAAAGTGTTCAAGTGACTTGCCACATTTGATTCCACCAAAAGCGGTACATATCAGAAATACGCGACGGACTCTGGCGGCACATCGTTTCAGGGTTCAACTCAGTACACCTCGAACTTCACTGTTTGAGAACTCTTTCATTTGGAAAACTGCTTTTATGTGGAATAAACTTCCTGGGAACGATCTCTCAAATGGACTCAATCTCCAGCGATTCAAATCCAATGTGAATCACTATTTTCGCACAGGCATCGCTCTGAGAGCGCCTTAAGGATTTTCCTGTNATTTTCTGGATAAGTACATAGTGATCCACACAGTCAAATGCTCTAGAAAAATCGATGAACAAACCACAAATTTGCAGTTTGTTATCCAAGACTGTTACTACGTGTTCTAAGGAATCATATAAAGCTGTTTCCGTGCTTTTATTTTGCCTGAAACCATGCTGCTTGGTCGAAAGTAATTCATTTTTGAGGAGAAATGATAATAACAGATTTTCAATATTCATTTCGTATACCTTGGATATACTAGAGAGAAGACTTACCTCTCTATAGTTCTCATAGCTATTTGAGTCTCGTTTTTTAAAGATTGGGGTCACGATTGCAACTTTTAATTTCTCAGGGAATGGTTTTGGCTTTTGACTGTGGTGGTTTGGCCCGGTTACAAAAAGTTATAATGAATCATAGCCGCAGCAGACCACCATAGAGTAACCATGTTTTTTTTGAAGGGGTTTCCCTCTTGCATGGGTGTCAGTGTTTTGTACACCTCCTGTTACGATGGAGGATCCATTTTCCATCATACGTGACGATCCGATCTAAAAAAATAGTTTCTGTTGCGCAAAAGCAAAGGAGAACAGACTTTGAAACGTGACAATTTCTGTCGATCGTTCAAATCGGGGGGCATCTACATTTCAAACTTCATGACCTTTCCAATACCACGATACCGTCCGTTGACGCCACAGTTCTTTCGAATTACCATATTCTTCTATGTTGTATGTTATATGAATAATAATAATAATAAAGGTTCATTATTACATTTGCTTCCCCTCACTGTAACATTCTATTGGAAAACTCTATATAAACTTCATCAGATGCTCCTGTGTTGTTTTCAAGCTGATCATTCATTTCAGAAAGCCGCTACAAAACAGGGCATTTTGAATATTCGACAAACTACAAGAGACATTCATATCATTCCGTTGATTATTTCGAAAGAAGCTTTAGGCGTTTCCTTTCACGGGTTAGTGAAAATTGATCCCCGTTAATATCATTAGTGTGGGTTTGCTACGCAACCGCAAACAAAGCATCTGACACACGGCTAACAAATTTTGATGACAATGGGGGAAACAAGAGAAAGCACTTTGTCACGTTGGAGTGTAAAAAGTTAGTTTGGCGGATGTTCTGAGTGGAAAATAATTTCATCTTCAGAAAATCATGTAGAGATTATACCATTAAAGTGCTTGGAAGCATGAATTGTGAAAATATTTGAGAGAGGCAAAGAATGCGGCACGAGAGATAATCCGAGAAAGAGTTGCGAGATTTTTTTGACTACAAAAATCACATACTATTATTACGCCTTGGACAGAGACGAAACGGACTGGTTTAAGTTTGACGATAGTCGTGCCACGAAGAGTTCTGGCGATGTATTGAATTTATTGGAGCCTCTGGAGACACCCTACGTTTTGTTTTATGAGAGAGAGGACATTGGCAGAACAAGATCTTCAGATGACGTGGTGCTGCAGGTTTTTCCGAGTTTTCCTGCAACTGAAAAAGCAAATGCGCCACTGGAATGAAGTCGCCCCGAAACGCCAATTGATTTTTATTGTTGTTCTATAATTTCATGATTTGTACTTTTTTTTGTAATCTGCGATATTTTTTGTATTTCAACGCATGAATGCAATTTTGCAAAACACGATGCACAATAACAATGTCAGAAATCATGTTAATAAAATCATGAGAAAATTTAGGATAAGTCTGTTATCAAAACTACGATCCAAAATGTTCAGAATAGATCAAAATAAAGACGCATTAGTTACCAAACGAGTGGCCATCGAATAAATAGCTGACAGCTTCACTCAGCTGGTTCAATTGGAGAAATTTTGTTAATTCTCACATATATTTACAAGGATGGTCCCATAATTACCCGGCTCGAAAAAGAAAACACAGAAATTTTGAAAAAAAATTTATTCATTTTTCAGTATAGTGTCTTTGCATCTCTATCTCTAAGATGTTGGACTTCATTGATAGATCATGCAAGGACTTCAGCTGCTGCTGCTGTTTTCAAAAATAACAATATACAGAATCATTATAGAGCCCCATTTTGATAATTGTTCCACTCTGCTTTATCTTTTAAATAAAAACAATATACAGAAGTTACAGAAACTGCAAAATCGAGGTTTAATAAATTTGTATGTCAACAGACAGACCAGAGTCAGTACCGAAACATTCAAAATACCGTTTCACTCCACAATTCTTTTTTTCCTGTCACTCAGATGTTCAGAAATGGAATTACGTATCACAGGTTGATATATTCAATAGCTCCACAAATACCGTCCAAATTGAACTGAGTCGCATTAATTCCTTCAATTATTCTGTACTATTTCATCATTATATCATTTTCTCTTCTATAATATAATATTGTACCACAATTTTGTAATTTAACTCCTATATTGTACTGTGATTTTAGTACTATATTGTTTTTTGTTTTATATTATCAGTATTGTGTTATGTATTTACTTTATTTATTTCAGTTTGATATTTTACAAACTTATTTTATAACAAACTGTAATTGGGACTACCTATTGAATATCACTTCTTCATCGTTGGAAAATCTTTGACCACTGAACCATTTTTTAAAGTTTGGGAACAGAAAATAATTGAAGGAGGCTAAATCTGGCGAATAGGTTGCATGAGGTAGCAATTCAAACTGTTTTTGCTCGAGTATGAGCAAACGCGGCACCTATGCCTACTAAGTCTGCTAGCTCGCGAACTTTCAGTAGACGTTCATTCAGCATCACTTCATATATTTTCTTCACCGTTTCTGGAGTCGCCACCTTATTTTTTGATCAACCACTGCGATGCTCCTCTTGACATAACGATGAGCAATTTTCAAAAATTTATCGAGAACGTTCGCTTCCTATGGCTGCCAAACAAATACTAAACAACGCAGCGTCTTCAAATATATGCTAACTTTTGAATCAGAATAGTTTCAATGATATTTCAACAATACAAAAAACAGAACGAATCGAAATGAGACAGTTTTAACTATATAACTGCTTTATTATTATTCACATACTGGGTTAAAGCCAAAAAGCTCAGAAGCTGTTCATGTTCCAAGTCAAGTTGAAAACATTTTTCCAAAGTAGTCATTGCCTTTTCATCTCGTACATTCACATTTTTGAAGTTTTCATTGATTGAGTTCATCGCATTTGAAAAAAACCTCCAGAAAGTTAGTCCTTCCTGAAGAACTTTGGTTAGTGGAGGTTGTAAAGCAGTTCCTGTTAAAAGTGATGAATCTGACTCCCAGTTCAAATCATTTGAAGATTTCTCCAATATTGACAATTTGTTTTTCAGTACTTGATTTGCTTGGTTGAGTCTATCTCTGAAACAAAGAAACTTTGGTAAACAATAAATAAAGGATGTTCCTTAATGATATATGCAAATCCGTGTCACAATTTTTAATCTGTTTTAAAGCTCATAGAATTTTGGAATTTCTTCCTGACGTTGGATAATATTTTGAAGATCCCACTGGCAGAAGGCCTTAGAAAATCTCTGGAAGGAACAACCGAACTCTCAAAATATATGACTTGCCATAGATATAATTTACACATAACACGATTAAATGAAACTATCTATTTATCTACCTATGGCAAGGAATCCACTGAACGCAAAGTTTAATGAGAAATATTAAACTGTCTAGCAATCCTTCTCGTACATGTTTCAAGATGTTCTTAGATTTCCTGTGACACTGCTTCCCCAATTTAAGCTGTTGTTACATTCTGAGGTCTTTATTCGTATGTTTCATTTCGTACAGTATAAATTTCCACAAGTCGATGATGAAGTTCAGAAAGGGTTTAGCTTGATCTTCCCTTTCAAATTCGCATTTGAGACATCCTTGAATTTATTTCCTTTACATCTTGTGACCAAAAAACTCACCAAAATACAGAACAGAAATTGTGGAATATGTGAGCGGAAAATAGAATATACTTTGTGGGTGAAATTTTACATTATAGCAACCCGCTCGATGAATACAAATTAGGAAAATATCAACTTGAGACCTCAATTGAATTAACTGTGAATATGGACCTCAGACCAACGACAATAGTAGCAAGAATATCGGTACGGAAAAAGATCAAAAAAAGATAAATGAGAACATGAAAGATAATAATGAAATATACCTTGTGGAACACGGAGAAATCTTCCCAGAGGATGGCTGTGAAGTGGCCGTGTCAGGTGACGCCAAATCACCTGGTTACCTAGTCAAAGTTACATTTAAAGTTTTTGCTAGTGTTTAATGTCTTGCATAATGAAAAATAGTGAAGAATCGGCTCAGCAGTACGACATCGCATATTCTAATTTTCCTAGCTGGTGTAGACGAAAACATCAAAGAAAATTTCAGCGAAACCGTCTTCTCAGCATATTCAGAAGATAAATCAAAAATATGGAGCTCGTCAACTTTGTGCAGCAAATGTTCATTGATAAAGTCGACTGCTCTCGTTGAAAATGGTGAAAGCGGAAAAATGAAAGTTATAGGCCCAAAAAATCAAAAACTCTTATGTTTGAAAAAGTCCAGAAGTTTACAAATGAGGAGCCAGATGAGAAATATTTGATGATAAAAGTTGCTACTATTTTCGGAATATATGGAGCCTGCCGGCGTGAAGAGCTGTGCCATTTATTAATAAAAAATAATGAATTGATAAATGAATCATTGGTTGTTCAAATTCCAAATACAAAAACGAAAATAGGTCGTTCTTTTTGCATTGTTGGAAAAATCATTGACTATTTCAATATGATAAATACGTTGCATTACACCCTTCTGTTATCAATCATCAACGTTTTTTCCTGAAATACTCAAATTATAAATGCAGTGAAAACCCAATTGGTATGAACATGTTTAAAAAAATGCCCTCTTCCATTGCTGAGTTTCTGAACCTCCCGGAACCAAAGGAATATACAAGTCACTGTTTCAGAAGATCTTCTGCTTCTTTGCTAGCAGAATCAGGAGCAAATATAACAGATGTTAGGAAGCACGGAGGATGGAAGTTTACAACAGTAGCTGAGGGTTACATCGATCAATCTATTTCTTATGAAAAGGCTATTGCTGAAAGAATAATCCAGCGTAATGCCCATGAAATTGTCAACTCAGATAGTTCAAATATAGGGCTCTTCAACATCGCAAGGTATTGGTATCAGCAGTTGTTCTGATTGTACTTTTCATATTAATGTTCATAAATAATAATAATAGTGTATCTATATCTATTTTTCGTAGTGGATCTTTTTTGAAAATTGAATAATTATGTTTTGTTCATTGCTATTTGGTCGAAAAAAATCGTGTTAAAAATACTTTTAACACGCTACTTTGTGAACATCATCTTTTAGTACTCTTGATAACCATTAAAAATTTCACTTTTAATGACAGTTGTACAAAAAAACATTTATTTTCATAGACAAATTTCCCATATTTCCGCCTTTTCTGAGAAAAGAAAAAATACAAATACTTCATTTCCCATTTGAGATTCAGGTCTAAAAATAAAATTTGAATCGATCATTTTCCACGTCGAGGGAAATTGCGCTATTGAAATTCCAACAAATGACGTCAAAGGTTTATACATCGAAGCGTGAAAAGAATTACAGGAATGAAAGAGCTCATGATTGAAGGGAGTATGAATATATTATTACTGTGTTGTGAGGGCGACAGCTTAAAACTGGTTGGTAATATATTCAATAAATGCAAGCAGAGCTTTCAGAATGCTTTGTTTTAAATAATTTAAAAATCTATTGGACTGATTGACATACTTGTTCTGTGTGCGGTTGCTAATAGTCGATTTCAGAACTTATTTTTTTATCAACAAAAGATGTGATACAATAACTCAAATGATCCCTTCAGAAATTCAAATGAACATATAGTATATAATATTGAGACTTTATTGAAGCTTGTGAAATAAACAAAGAATTATATAGAAGTGTTTGACACGAAACTTTGATATTTTTCATTATTAGTCAGTGGGCTATGCTGGCAGACTGGCAGTAAACAAACCTAAAGAAATGAACTTTAAACGTTCAAGCCAGTCTCGAATATACCTACACAGTAGGTTAAATGGACTGATGCCTATCAGAAAACAACTACTTCCCTGGCTAATATCATGAAGGGCGTTGGATTATATCCGACTGTAGGTATATTCGAGACTGGCTTGAACGTTTAAAGTTCATTTCTTTAGATTTGTTTACTGCCAGTCTTCAAGCATAGCCCACTGACTAATAAGAAAGTTTTTCTTCCTTGTTCAGAGGAATCGGGCAAAATTCGGATATGCAGTTGGTTAGTACCTCATTCACTAGATGGAATGACAAGGAATGAAATACTCCAACTATGGAATATCATTGACTTTAGGTCGATGATGGCCACTGTCTTGCACTGATGAGTGGCTAATGAGCCCGAAAGCGGTCTGCAAGTGTGCCCTTTCCAAAATTGAAGGTCGACTCTTTCAGTTGTATTGCCATATCCAGGTATGGCTTGATCACAATCTTCTGAGTCTGAATATGAAAAAAACTAAATTTATTACATTAATCCTATTACAGAAAGATCAACCTGGAAATAACATAATCCATATACATGACAGAGACTGTACAAATACAACAAATTGCAATTGTGCTGTTATAGAAAGAACGAAGATGATTAAGTATCTGGGAGTTATAGTGGATCGGCATATGAGGTGGGATGACCACATAAACTATGTTGTAAAACGGCTCAGACTTTCAACAATAAAATTCTATGAATTGAGAAACATTCTGCAATACAAAAATTGTATCACCATATACCAGTCTTTAGCAGAATCTGTAATAAGATACTGTATTGCTGCCTGGGGTGGTACATTTAACAATTCTCTCAATACCCTCCAAATATCTCAAAATACAATCTTGAAAATATTATTCAAAAAACCTAATATATACCGAATGTCTGTATAAGAAAACGCAGTTACTGAAAACAAGAGACCTCTATATCCACCAATGTTTAACTTGGGTGTACACAAACAAACTCACACTTCAATCAACAAATAAAGAAAAACAAACAAGATTTGTTACTAGTTCTTCCATAAACATACCAACATTTAATGAAAGTCACACACAGAGATGTATTTTCTATCACGGTCCAAAATTATTCAATCTTCTGCCAATTAACATAAGAAACAATTCCAATCTCATTCAAAAATGTATTGAGTTGATTATCCAAATCCAAGTTGATTATTTGCCTCCTCTCATTCAATGCTATACACTTGAAAAATTATGACAAATTATTTATGTCCCTTCATTTAGAAGTCCATTGAAGAGCCCTGTAACTATTCTGAGACTATCCCTGCTGTTTTTTTACTGACTTTCCGTTCAATAACTGACAATTATTCGCTACATGAGGAAATCCTACAGATTGTAGACTTTTGATTGCTGATAATTATTTTTACGTAAGCATTATTTGGTAATGACAAAACTTAATTATATACATAGTAGATACTCACATCACATTTCTCAAACATTTCATTTCGTCCTCCATTTCCATAAAGATTTTGAACTTAAGTTTTCCTTGGAGTTCGGTGAAGTTTTCTATGTATTCAATATCAGCTCTGAAAAAAATAGATTTCATTAGGCCTTTCACAATGGAACAACATCTCCCAAATATAATTATATGCCAATCATAAATGATTAACATATATCAAAGGAGTCATAGTGTATTTGAAGAAGTACCCATTTTCTCATTTGAGCAAACCAAAAATGCACGTTCATATTTTCATTACAACTCATTACATACAATCCATCATATGGAAATAGCCGGCCTAAAAAATATGGGTATTTCTAAGGCCGGAGTTTGAAACAGAATATGGATCAGACAATAATACAAAATTCGAATATCTCACGAAGTCATTTAATACATTATCTCGAACCTTTTAATAACGCTCCTACCCCCCTAAACGTTCTCAAAAGGTTGGGAATATTAATAGCGGTTTCTAATATTAGTCATATTAGAAACCGCTAGGTGAAGTTCCAGAAATTCACATACATTTTTGCTACCTCTTGAACATGTACTACACAGTAAATGTGAGTGAGGATTTTTCCAGCAAAAGATCTACAAACAAAAGACGAGATAGGAGTATTTATTCAGTATTCAACAAGAACCTCAAGAATTCGGAACAATCCTCTTGTTGTCCTAACGATTATCTAGTGGACTTCAAAGACTCTAGAAAATCAATTGGTGGGAAAAATGATACGTTCTCACGAACCTGTAGCTGCATGAACAGATGTTTGAGTTTGGTGAATAAGTAAGAAACATTCTTTTTCTTGTTCATCATTAAACCCTCGTTATTGAAATTCTTCGTCTTGGACAACACTTGTGAAATGCCACCAAAATATCAAAATATAATTCGTCTTCTATACTTGAAAAAACAAAAAGTCCTCAAGAACAGTTTCAAATTGAAAGGAAAAGGAGTATATATTGCTCGAGATCTCTCTCCAGAAGATCGCGAAGATCAAAAAATTCTGATTGCTCATCAACAACAAGCTATACAGCGAAAAATTTGAATGCAAAAACTGAGGTAAAATCTTCAATTGTTAACGGAAATACATACATACAAATTGAACCAACAGAAAGAATCTGGAATTCTGATCACAGTACAAACAAAATAAAATACTCGAATCAATAAGCGTAAAAAAAAACGAAAAAACTCCAAGATTTGAAATCGAGCAAAACTGAACTTATTCGTCGTAGCTCATACAGTATCTTACGTCAACTCTATCAAAGTAGAGATATTATGACTTCCACATTGAAGTTGAAACTTTGCCAAACCCTCATATTGTCTAGGTTAGTATATTGCGATATAATCTACGTGCTGCTTCGATACAAACTGATGTGAATCGCTTACAAAAATACAAAATAATTGAATTCGTCTTTCTTATGGTGTGAAAAAATTCGACAATATATTCACTTTTTTTTAAAATGCTTTTATTAGCTTCACCTGTATGTATGTATGTTTACTTCTTTGTTTATTTGGTTGTTTGTAACTCTCCTATTCATATTTATTTCCATTTGAATGCTTGGGATCTGTATTTGACAAAATTATCGTAATCATTGCTTGATCTTTTCGCGGACAGCTGGCCCGGTACATAAAAAAAATATTTTTCACTTATTAGTTCAATGTTCCTTAAAAGCGTGTTTTTTAGTTTATTAATATATCAGAGGTTAATATCACATACAAGCTACAGGCTTCAGTGATCTTCATGATTACTTCACAGTTCTGTTTTTGTAATTCAGTTCTTGTACAATTTCTGGAAATAAACATTATATTGTTTTTGTGATTTGTGAAGATATACCTGAATCTCTAGTGAATCGATATTTATGCTCCATATTTCTATTATGACATTGGCGGACCCTAATATCTCCGTCGATATTCTGTCGGAAGCTGATCATTTTTCTCCCATTCTTGAATCAGATCACCTGACTGACCTAATTCAACCACAGAAACCTACCAGAGATCCTGATCATTATTTATGTGAAACAATTTACCAATAGACAGATTTTTTTCTGATTTCAAGATAGAAAATCGCATCTTTTTTCCCGAATCTAAATTGATAAATCAGTAGCGGTTCCACCCGCTAGAATATAGATTACGGAAAGACTATTATGACTATTTACAAAACTATCATATGTTCCCACTTTATAACAAAAAAACTCATTTTGAAAAGTCATTTTATATCTCATCATAGTGTTGCAAACTCAAATAGTAAAACTACTAAGCCCAGAGCTGCATTAGATACTCCTTGGAAATATTGGTTCGCTTTGAGTGAATGAATGGAGCAATGAATGAATATTTGGTTGACGTTCATAATATCGTATAAAAATGGAAGTAATTTTCATCTCAAAATCAACTTATTCACAAAAAAATATGGTTAAGTAGGTACATCAGGATAAAAATATGCAGCCTAAATTACCATTAGCGCTGATTGATATTAGTATATATTGATATCATCAAAAAGTTGAAATATTGTTTTTGCAAATTTTATTTCATGCTGCAATAATTAATTTTACATTACATCATTAAGAGTAGTTCAACTTTCAACTTTTTAATGTTTATGTTGATTTCCTAATCAACTCTTTACAATGATGTGTAGATCATGCATAGAGGTTACTTTCAGATTCTAAAAGGAAAAAAGCCCTCCCGAAACGATTAATTCCATACGAACATCAAATTACACAAAACACCTTTCTCAAAAACTGATCTCTACAAAAAATATACACATTTCAATTCAAATAAATAACTATTTTGTCACAAATGGTCCCAGTGCTATTCTACGCTTATGAAAATAGGTTTCATAAATTTACACTAACACTAAAGCCGAGGATATACCTAGGGTATGCAACTAGTAATACTCACTTCTCCACGTGGCGTAGCTGCTCTGCATAGTTACACAGTGCTTTGTTGGGCATACTTGCCTCTTCTAATAATTTTCGCCACTTTTCCACGTGTATTGGTAAAATATTACAGAAATTCGTAACATATTTTTGGACAGTCGACTCTAATTCATCCATTGTTTGATTATATTTTGTTTGTTCGAGACAGAAAACATTGCACAATTCACGAAACACAGAACCAGCTACTGTGTCACCATCTGTGTGACAGAGGATTTACTTACTCGGAAGAAGAATGGTGAATAAACGGTAACCTTTCTTTCGACCTGGGTTATATCTATATCTTTGCTCAGAGATATCGTTGTATATAGACTATAATATCATTGTCTAAGGATTTACTTTAGACAATGATAAAATGATCGAGTCATTGTCTATCAGACAATGATCGACACATTGTCTAAGATCGAGGGTAACCACGAAAATTATCTCGGAGAGAGGGCACTCATGACTCTTGTTAGCTACAATTCGCATACGAGTTAGCTATATTAGAACGGATTTAGAACAGTCCAGAGTAGTCGCACAGTTGAGACTCGGAAAGTTTTGCGAGAGTCCATGCAGTCGGGGAACTTTTTGAAACCGTTCTAGAATCATCCCAATGGAGAAACAGAATACGCCATACGCCTAAAGATGAAATTTTGAGCATATTTCCTGACAGGAATGGTTTGTGAATGTTTGTTTGAAGGTGACTGACAATGTTTAACGATGAATTTCATTAGTTCGGGCTTCCATTGTCAAATATTATATAAAATGATTTGAAATCCCTAAAAGAATCAATAGGTACAAATAAATTATCAAAATAGAATAGTTAAACGAAAAATACAAAAAATTAGAGATTCCAATCCAAACTACTCCACGACGTTTCGATTTGTAAAATACACAATCGTCTTCAGGTCTTCGATCACCCGTATTTTTTGACTAATGCCGTATATCTAGTGAAAGCAAATTGAAAGATTTATGCTTGTGCTATAATTGATACGTACATGTCTTCTTTCTCATGCTTCGTATTCAAAACAGTTTGTTGAGATCCATAAAAGAATGAGCTCCTAGATTTTTCCCATCTTCTTAGCGTTACCTTAAATCTCAGTAAAAGCTACTACGGTGCCCCTGAAATATCTTTTACCTATTTACCTACACTGTGCTCTCTGCTCCACATCACGCAAAAGTGAAATTAACGATTTTAGAAGCCGCGCGGATTGAATTCCTCGTATGCAACGATGCCAAATCGCAAAAATTTCGTTAATAATCCCAATTGACAAATGATTGTTTTTATTTTTGACAACTTCATCATGATGCCCATGATGGAGAGCCAAAACATGTTCAAAGAAATGATCCTAGATTTTGACATGCCCTGTGCCCTTGAACTTGTTTGTACAAAATGAAGCATCCATTATTATTGGGAAAAAAATTTAGAAAGACTAGAAAATGAGTATCGAAATATCAATGATTGGTGAATCAATTGTTACGGTTTTTCATGAAACCGTTCTCAATCAAATAGTAAGACTCATACCGAGGTATCACTCTATATTCGAATTAATTTTGCGCATAGTCCGAAAGATTTGCTTGAGGTCTGTTTTTGCGAGTGCGCACAAACTGCTGAGTGACCCTTCCTCCTTTTCATGAGACTGAACTAAAGTTAGTTATCGTTGGGTCTCATGGGATAAGTTTGAAAACATTGGGTTCTTGACAAGTACGGAGGAGAGACGCCTCCGTAGAGTATTTACCTTGAATATTGAACCCCAAAGTATCAACTGAATCGTAAGGGGTAACCTTGGTAGAAACCAAGACCCGAGAATACCTGTAGGTAGATACTCTCAGCCAAGACTATTTTCACTTTCAACCTTTCTCCAAATTCTATAAAATCATGTGGAGAAAATGCATATCTGATAAGTGGAAATGAAAAAAACCTTGATTATCATTATCATTATTATATTTTATTTTTTTACCGAAGTATGCGCTGGTCAGGCTCTATCCCCCGAAGCCCCGATACATTCGGGAGGGCACGCCAGCATTATTAACCAACGACCAGAAGTAGTTATTATTTACTACATAAATGCCTTGATAGCCTCAGAGAACGAGCTAATCTGAATGCAGGTAACATGTAAGGTATTATCGACTAGGAAAAGATCAAAGCTCATTTATTAATATGTTATCACTTAGAAGTGAATATTCACCTATACCTGACTATGTCTGGAACTCCTTGATCAGGGAATTGAATGCTTATTGAAAAGGTCCAATGATCACGTTTTAGGAATCACATATTGAAAGGTAAGACCTCGTTAGTCCTTAGCTCGCACAAGTTTCTCAACTTCTGAGAGTTGTCGTTAGTATGGGGGCGACAGCTGATTAACGGAAAAACAGACAGACAGAACAGATATTAACTCATTTGCCACCAATACATGAGGTTTAATCTAATCATTTTTTCACCTATGATATACCTTCTGATATACCATGAAGGCATCATTACAAAGGTATTTGGTTCAACTGGCAAAATGTCCACAAGGAAGTCAGAATTAGCCAAAGCAAAATCACTATTCCAAAAAAAAATTGGTCGACTCTTTGAAGTAACCTACAAAAAATCTATTGAGTATGAAATTGAAGTGAATTCAATAATAACATGTCAAATAGAGGTGAAAGGACAATCAAGAAAGCTTACAAGCACAAGAATAATCACTATACAATATTCTTTTGAATAATTGTAAGACCATTCCCAGTATTGTAGGTACAAATTTAATAACCATTCAATATCAGTATTTCAGAGGTCATTCGAAATTTATTAAAGTCATTTTCATCATTAGTATTTCCATCCATGAATTGAAAAAAAATGTTCTTTTGGAACTAGCCTGGCGACTTCAATGTATTATTTTGCAACAAAATTGTAATATATTCAAGCTCCAAAACAGCCCAAAAATTCAACCACTTCAGCAACGCAACGTTAGACCTTAGTTTGAAAAAATTCATTTCGGAGTGTTCTTATTTCAATTTAGTTGAGAGAGTTATTCACTGCGATATTACATCATCATCACAATTATTCATTCAAAGCGTAATATAATTGATGGTTACAAATGAATATTGGTAATTAATGGATTATGAATGAATGCATGAAAAGCGAATCAGATAAAGTTTCATTAATGAGTTGTGTATTTATGTTATGAAAACAAAGTAGGGGGAACTAGATCTGATTATCAACACTGTACTCCTATGATTTTAATTATCTCATAGATGCATGAGTGAGCTTCATTTAACATGTATTATAATCGAACAATTGATGTTTCTTTGAAGCACTGATGAATTATAATCCAAAACAATGACAATTTCATGTCATCGGGAATTGATGACTCTGTTTGACATGCGGTATCTTCGAAAAACGCTTATATTGCATTGTAAAGCAAATAATGACTAATATAATAATAATTTAATGGATAATTGATTGGGCGTGCACTTCAAAATTGTTTTGAATTTGATTATAAACCACTGCAAAACATAAGGTCAAAATAAGCGGAATCAAATTGTTCACTTCTATATGATGTGTTTGATAATATACAACTGATTTGACTCATTTTTTTTTGTACATTATACATTTTTTGAGGTACTGGTACTGGGAATATCGTTCTATCTTTCTAGTTATTTCATTGGAGAAAAATAAAATTTCTCATACAGTTCTGTTCATTATTCATCTTTGTTGTTGTCATATATCACTGTCTTTCAGGAGAGATTAGTTTTTAGATGGAAAGATTTTCAGATTTTCACTTCTCAATCATTATACAAAAACTGTGGAAAAATTCCGAAAAACCGGAGAAAAGTTCCATTCGAAACGAGCAACTCACACAGAAACGCTACAAAAAGTCATACGAGATCTGTTCAGAAAATTATTCTCAAAAAATATTCATTTATCCATCAATTTTCATTCTGTTCCCTTCGAAGTATAATTGTGGCAGCATTTCTCTAATCCTCAAAGCAGTTTAATCCGGTCATTCTAGACATTGGAAGGTACATAAATTTACAACAAGCTGCAAACGCAGTCAATTTGAAAACTTACATAATCAAATATATTAGGAAGGGTTGGAAATTATAAAAGCGATTAAAATTTAAAAAAATGTAAAAATTTATTCATTTCAGTCACAACCTTCAAATACTTCTTCTTGTCGTTCTTCTTCTTGGTCTTCTTCTTCTTGATCTTCTTCTTCTCCTTGATGTTCATCCTGGGTGTAGGTAAACTGCGTCAAGAGTGACGCACTATTGGTGATTCAGCATTAGAACATGACTGCCTTGACAATGTGTGCACGCCAGAGAACACAACAGTCCAACTTTTTTACAGCCACATTCAGCGCTGCATCCCTTTTCACAATTGCAAAAAATTGTGTTAATCAGTGTTTCCAACTCAGGTGGGAGTAAAGTCTAAATAAGTTCTGATGCATTGTCGACCAACTTCCAACCCCAGTCTTTTGGGTCTAGCTGATAACCAAGCCACCCTTGAACTTCGTAATATACCCGGAAAAGATGTTGATGAGCAGCAACTGAGGTTGGAGGAAGACAAGCTAATTACACCTATTTCTTATTTTTTTTTGTGTTTTTTACGAAACATGCATATCGATACTTATCTAAGCAGTTGGTTTTTTTCGGAGCTTTGTACATGAAAGAAGAAACTGTTGGTGATAATTTCTTGTTGAGTCGAATTACGTTTTTGAAAACTTCAGCACGAAATAGGTTAGGTTAAACACGTGTTTTCATTACAGCGTGGCGCTCAAGACTAACGGTATTTTATTTATTGGACATTCTGACACAAAGCAGGTATACGACCACGCACACAATTGAACAGGGAAACAGATGTTGGCTCAAGGTTACACTAGCGTACAAATAGAGGGACTGGATATCATTCTACTCAATATTCTCAAATTTATACTTATGTATAAAAAATATAGAAAATATTTTTACTTGAATTACAACTTCAGAGATGTATATACGTGGCATACTTATGCATATAATATCGATTACAACTTTTACAACTTTTTGACTCGTCGTATCTCAGAAACGGTAGCTCTAAGAAAAAAAAGTATTGAACCATTTTTTGTAGGTAACTTTTCGATCTATAATTTTTAACTGGGGTTATTTTATGATGAAACTCACCGTTTTCCTGAAAATCGCGAAATAACAATTTTTTTCGAGATTTTTGACCTTGACTTCGAATAATTTTTTTTACAGGCATCACAATCA